GCCACACCCGAGCTAGCTCCGGTTGCTTTTTAGGTTTCGAAAAGGGACACGCAGTTGGAACCGGACAGGTGTGGGGGACAGGTCCTCGGTTCCGCTACAGAAACTGGGGAGCTTTTAGGCAGAAGCTGCGTCTCGCCCAGGGGTACGGTGGGGACCAGCCCGACCTCTTGAAGTCAGTGCTGGACCGCTCAGGCAGGGAAGGTCGCCGCCTGCCTGGGAGGAACATGAGCTGCAGTAGCTCTGCAAACGCAGATGGGACGCCTCAGTCGAAGTCAGTGGTCACTGGGCAACGGGAGCTGCCCCACAGGCGGAGAGGACGCAGACCACTGCCTGTGCCATGTGAGCTAGCAAAGAGGTTTGGCTGCCAGAGGGTTTTGTTCAGATGGTTCTTCCAGAGCCCTGTCGAGGTCAGACATTGTCAGGCCAGTGTCCTAAGAGCCCCGAAGAGGACCTCAGAGCGTGCTGCTTCTGGACGCTCCCTGTTCACGGTCCACGGATTCACTAGCCAGTGAGCTCAGTCGCGTGAGGTGCATGTTCTTTCCCCAAAACTCTTATCAAGGTGTGAGCCTGAGCTGCAAACAACATTATAGGTGGTAGCAGCTTGAAGAGAGTCCTGTGATTTCTGAAGAAAGTGATGATGAGAAGAGAAAAGAGAAAAAGGAATTTCCAGGATTAAAATCTGTAACATAAAAATGCAGTTTTTAACTGGCAGAGTTGGGATGAAGTCAAATAACTTTAGCAAGTGCATGGGAAAACCTTTACAAAAAGCAATCTGAGTATGACCTGCAAGGCTTAAGGATGAGATTACAGAGGAATTCTTCAGAAATGTGTAGATGGAGCCAAGCGGATGATGGGGTGTTGTTAAGGGGTGATGCAGAAAAGGGTGGGCCCCCGAAAACAAAAGGCGGGACCACGGGGGGAAAAGGGGGGCTGAAGAGCAGACCCCTGGCTGTACATTACTGCCGTGAGGGAGAGCCTGGGCCGCCCTCTGGGCGTCGCTGATGCCACGCCTGAGCTTCAGAGGGTCCCGTGACACTGGAAGATGCGGCAGGGAGCCAAGCAACTCCATGGCAGCATCCAGGCTGCGGCGCGCAGCCCCTCGGCCCAGACCGCGCGGAGACGAGGCTCCTTCCGTGCGCCTTCACTGGTTCCGATTGTTGTGCTTGACTCCTGCGGGACATTCGCTGTAAACCCGGACGTCTTCACTCAGCCGCACCCGCGTCGCACACCAGTGCCCATTTGTATCTTGGAAAAATACATCATTTGAAGACAATAAATTTGTTTCTTTTACTGTACATCTTCATTAGTTTTTTGTGTCTTAGGCAAAGATTAAATAACGAGGAATTACCAGTTATCAAAGTGGAGGGGTGCAAGGAAACGCGCACCCCTAACTACCCCGCCCGTGCGAAGCAGTCACGTGTGCCGCCCCGTTACCTGTACAGTGGGAGCTTGGCTGAGGGGTGTGGCCCACCCTGCTTTCTTAGGCCTGTGACCAACCACTTAATGTTTGTTCTCCTCTTACTGAGGAGGTGACTTCTGGTCACCCTGGAAGACACCTGCAAGAAAAGCACCTCGGGCTCCGGCCGGTTTGTTGGGACGATCAGCGCTCTCACGGGACTCAACGCTCCTTTCTGACGCCAGATCCCGGGGTCTGCCTCGGTGCGTGGTCCGTGCCATCGGGCCACTGGCGTGCATGGTGCGTGAGACAGTGGCGTCTTCTGTAGTGGCAAGCCTGCCGTGCATTCACTACCGGGCCCCCGGCTTCAGCATAAAGCCCCTGAGAGCCCCACACCCGACGCGCACGCGCCCGCCGGGGCTCGTCAGGGAGCTAGGCCTTGGCGTGTGCATTCGCGTCTCCCCTGTAGTACTGGTAGCGTCCTCAGAATTACTTGCAGATGTGGGAGTGGGGTTCTTTTTGTGATGGTGTTGCTTGCGCTTTTAGCCTTTTATGTTTAGTAATTTATTGTCTTAGTTTTGTTACCTACAACCTATAGCCAAAACCAGATACTGCACGGACACTTGCATTCATTCAAGGTTTATGGTCCGGGATTTCACCCAGCCTGCCGCTCAAGGGCATCTAGCAGCTGGACTCTTTCAGGGAAAAGTGAGGCAAGCTGGGGGAAGGGTGAAGAGGCCTGAAGACTGGGTGGGCGTGCAGGGAGAGTGGGCGGCCCTCGGGTCTTCCGGGTCCTTGCACCAGACACCCCCAGCCCCGGCCTCTCCCGAAGCAGTCACGTCTGCTCTCTCCGTGCCCCTACTGGCGGGCGCGGGCACAGACCTGCAGAGCCCAGTCATGGAGCGCCGCTGGCTGGCGGTGCAGGGGCCATGCAGGCACATCCCCGTGGAGGAGACTGCGAAGGGGCCGCTCCAGACCGCGGGGGTCTGCGCATGCGCACTCAGGGCGGCGGCGGCGGCGGCGGCGGCGGCCCCGGCGTTCATGTAGCCCTGAGCGCCGGAAGACATCAAGGGGCTGTACTGCAGGCCGGCCATGACGAAGCGGCGCATCTGCGGCAGCGCGGGCGGCGGCGGCGGCGGCCCCTCCTCTCCACTCCCTGCGCTGGTGTCCAGGCTGCTGCAAACTGGACAGCAGCACCTGCTGGCACCGCGCATCTCTTTCCTACCTGCCACCCCCATGAGGAAGGGCGAGGCAGCCAAAAAGTAGGGTGACACCTCCACAACACTGAAACAAACGCACCCCAGACCACTCACCCCGCAACCCTGCTTGTTCGCGGACTTGGGGGGTGTGGCGGGTCCTGGGGGCAGAGGTAGCCCCAGCTTCGGGCTCTGGACCCCCCATGCTCAGGGGCAGGAGAAGCCAGGCCAGGCAGGGCCGGCCTCCACCACGGGCCCCTCCCCGGGCGGGGCTAGGCGGCTTCTGAGCCCTTCTAGAGTTCTCCAGCTTTGAAGGAAGTGGGGGTGACGCGGCAAAAACAGCCCTTACACTGTCCAACACCACGAGGACTTCGGGGCACCTTGGGTCCTCCCCACGCTCGATGCTTTCCCAGGTGGCGTCACGGCTGCGTGAAGTGCAGGTCTTGAAGCCTTGGCGGGAACCAGAACGGGGGGGGGGGGGGGGGGGCCAGCCTGTGGCCGAGTCCACTGCGTCAGCCACTTGGTCCTGGAGTTTCCCTGAGGGGCCCCCACCCGCCTCCCCGCATCCGTGACCCTGGGCAGGCATCTGGGGCACCATTATTGGCGAAGGGTCCAGCTGGTCATGGAACGCAACTTGGCCACCAGACCGCAGGCTCAGAGGACGCTGCCAAGACGCAGCTTTGCTGTGATCCCTCGCGGTTCTTGAGCTCCTGGCACAGAAACCTTGTGCTACGGACCTCCCTGGTGGCCCAACGGTCACACGCAGCACTATGTGCTGGACACAGCCGCCTCCCCGGCCTGGAGTGACCACCAGGCGCAGCAGCCCCTCCTGTCCCCCACTGCCCCCTCAGCAGAGGGTTTCGGTGGATCCGCCTGTTCTGCTCCCCGCTCTGCCTCTGGGGAGCCCTCCAACCCCCCGCACCTCTGGCCTGCACCCCAGTTCTGTGTGCATACATAAATGAATGTTCGTAAAAACCTAGTGCTAACCAGATTGGCTGCTTCTGTAGCTCGGAGACCCGGCACATAACTTAGCTGTTTCAAATACTTGTAAACATTTACAAAACCACCAGCCTTCAGGCACTGGTGACCATTTCGCATAATCCAAAACCTTACTAGCTGCTGCTGTGCTGATGTAATAGGACACATTTATTAAGAGGGTGCAGTCCAAACCTCAAAGTTCAGATGATGCTGTTGACAGGCACAAATCCTTTCACTCCTGCAGTAAAAATTCTCATTTCTGATGGATTTTTCTGGAAAAAACATTAAAGTTTAGTTTAACAATTGTGTCAGTGCTTGTCTCTTCCAAAACCCTCAATCAGCCGCTCATGGGCACCTGGCTTCCTGCTTTCAGTCTGGCCCCGCCGGGCCTCACGTGGTCTGCATGTGCTGCGCTGCCCGGGCGTCGCTGGGAGACCGTGTGGCTGGTGAGCAGGACCAGCCTCAGGACCAGCAGGACGGCCTCTGTCCATCTGCACTGAGGGCCAGGGGCCTTACTTCCCTCAGCATCAATCTGCCTTTGACGTAAAGGCCGGCGAGAATCTCTTCTTGTTTCTCCTCCACGAGTACTAGTGGACAAGAGTCTGAAGGGGAAAGGAAACTCGTGAATGAAGTCATGACTGCGGGAAGTCTACGCATGGCCCGGCCAGCCCTGCAGTGACCTCAGAGCCGCTGCTCCTTGGAAGGGGACAAGGGGTCAAGTCATCAGTTCTGCCCGTCTGGGGCAGGCTGGCCCGTGGACACCCCTGCTGGACTGTGTCCCGGAGCCCCTGCCCGCCGATGGCAGCATGCCCCCAAACGTGCCAGGTGTGTCACGTGCACTATGCTGTGAGCTCATCTCGCCAAACAGGCTGAGAACTGCCGAGCACGTGAGAGCCGTGGCGCGGGGCAGGCCAGTGCGAGCCCCGCCCGTGTCGCAGCGCACCCCCAAGGCCTCGGCTCCAGCCTCAGGCTCCAGTGCAGCGCCCGGTGGACCCCATCACAGGGTGCGCGGGTACTGTGGGGCCTTGGAGGGAGGGGTGCTTCCCATTCTTAGGGCGCCCGCGTACACTGCCAGCCTGACCAGGGACAGTAACGCCCACTTGACACCACGTGCTGCCACCCTAATGCCCACCCCTTTCCTGCCGGATCCGGCTTGCCAGCGCCCTGTCTCTGGACACGCAGCTAGGAGAAGGGTGAGACATGAAACCGTCAGGCCTTGAAACTGGCTCAGAAAAGCAAGGAAGGCCACCGAGCGGAGGCAGGCTAGACGTGAGGCTTCTGAGGGAAGGCAGGAAGCTGTTTCTCACCTAAAATCGCTATGCCTGAGAGGAAGCTGCAATGGGATGTTTCAGCTCTCCCTTCCCCCACAAGAACAGAGACCTTCCTTCAGGGCCAAATCTGATTCGTCCTGACATTACAATTTCCTACTCCTGGAGGAGTTTCTGGCCATCTGACCTCTTTCCCAGAGATACACACCGCTAGAAATTCTATGGCTGTTTTCCCACTCTCCCCCTAATATTCTCCCTCCCCTCTGTCTTCCCAACATTCATGATCAGTAGTTTACAGTACAGCAGCCATCTTCCTTCGGAACCATTTGCAAGACCATAAGGTTCTGTCTTCAAAGAGTTAGGTCTTTGCTCAACTATTTCAAAGTAGTAAACAGTTTGAACAAAGAATCACACACACATTTGCTGCTGCAAACCCGGAACAAAAACCTCAGGGGTCTCAGGTGGTCCCCAGGGAGCCACAGCTTGATGTTACAGAGCCGCAGTCCCGTGGAGCTGGCCGGGGCCATGATCCGCCCGTCAGCTGCTGCCTTGCCAGACTCTTCCTAAGCAGTCCCGTCAAGCCCACAGAGTAAGCAAGTCTGACCAAAGCAGACAGGAGACAGCCAGAGGCCAAGACAAGGCCATCAATAAAGGCTCACGCACTTTCTCCTGCAGGTATTTATTACCCAGACAGACTTCCACAGGGAAGGCCCCAACCCCAATCTCCCCAGGCCCCACATGTCCAAGTCCCCCGGGAGCACATCTTTCACGGAGCCCCTTCGGGAGACTCAAAGACTGGGCTTATCTTTCTCTGATAGTGGTGGTGGGGGAAGTCTTGGCCTCTGCAAAAGACAGAATTATTCAGGCTCTTCTTCCCTCTGCCAATTCCTGGAAATTTCACCTTACTACTCTATTCCTTAGGTCTCTGGGCCCCAGTCTGAGGTGCCACTCACACCTGGCCTCCAGTCAGCCCTCCTTCAGGCCAGTGAGGGTGCTGAGGGCTGCCCGGCAGTGTGGGGAGGGCGGCCACTCACCGCCAGCCTGCAGCTGTTCCCCAGAGACTGCCCCTCTTCTGGTGCCAGGGGCTCCAAGGCCCTCCTGTTCCTGCTCCATGTCCCAAGTGAGGAAGCAGCAGTGCGAGATCACAGGATTCCCAAGGCTGCCGGCTGGAATGGGCACAGCAAGCACCCAGGCCGCGACTGGGCTCAGTGCAGGAGGGTGGGTGTGAGCCCTGGCACGAGCGGACTCATGAGCGTCCTGCCTAAGCAGGTCACCTCAGCAACTTGCCAGAATTGCCGCCTCAGTTCTGCCAGAATTCCTCTTTAGTCTGAGGCGGTTCCTTTGCTGCCTCTACACCTCCCTCAAAATGACTCCATTTCCCCTTTATAGCCACGACCTTAAAGACACAAAGGTCATTTGGTCACTTGCTCTTAACAGGGCACTCTGGGCAGCCACCTTCTCTAGGTCACAGAGAAACCCCAGTGTTTTATCCAGTGTGAGTTCTCTGGTGACTCATAAGGCGTGAGCTCCGAGAAAAGCTTTCTCCACACTGAGCACATTTATAGGGCCTCTCTCCTGTGTGGGTTCTTAGGTGACGAATCCGATTGGAGCTGTGAGAGAAACTGTCTCCACACTCGTGACAGGTATAGGGCTTCTCGCCTGTGTGAATTCTCTGATGCCTGATTAAGTTGGACCTATGAGAGAAATTCTCCCCACAAAGGGTGCATTTATAGGGTTTCTCTCCAGTGTGCGTTCTCTGATGTCTGGTGAGGTGCATTCCCTGCCGGAAGCTTTTCCCACAAGTCAAGCATTCAAAGAGCTTCTTCTCTGCCTTGTGAGGGCCACGGCGTGTGAGGAAAGGGGCACTGTCGCTCACTGCCTCCCTACACTCAGGGAAGGGGTAGAGTCTCTCCTTCTCGTGAGTTCTCTCGTGTATGACGAGGTGCGAGCTGCGAGAGAAACTTTTCCCACACTCGGCACACTTGTAGGGTCTCTCCCCTGTGTGGATTCTCTGGTGCCTGAGGAGGTTGGAACTATGAGCAAATATCTCGCCACACTCCGGGCACTTATAGGGCTTCTCGCCTGTGTGTGTTCTCTGGTGCCTGTGGAGGTTGGAGTTGCAAGAAAAGCTTTTCCCACACACGTTACACTGATAGGGCTTCTCGCCCGTGTGGGTACGCTGGTGGCGAGTCAGGTGTGTGTTCTGGCTGAAGCTTTTTCCACACTCAAGGCACTTGTGGGCCTCCTCCCCCAAGTGTGCTCTGTGCAGCGAGGGAAAGTGTGGGTTCCCGCCGAAGATCTCACTGCACTCCACACCTACACACAGCCGTTCTGCCGCGTGTATTCTCTGGTGTCTGATAAGGTTTGAGTTATTTGAGAAATTTTTGCCACACAAGGGACACAGGTGGAGCTTCCTCGGCCGCAGTTCCTCTGGCCGCCCCAGTTCTCTACAGCCTGCAGACTCCACGACGGCCTGCTCAGCCCGACCCTCTGGAGGCGGGTCCCAGTGTCCACCTGCCCTCTCCCGAGGCCTTCCCTGCTCCGGACTCCAGGGCACCTCCCCTCTGGCAGGACCAGAGAGCAGAACCTGATGCTGGACGCTCTCAGCAGAAATAGACTGAGCACTTTCTTCCTGGTTTTCGAATTTCTGTTCCCCTGGTAGTGAGAGAAACCGAAGCCCGGCATCATTTCTGACCGAAGGAAAGGCTCTCCCCTCGTCTCCCACTGTCTCCATGCTAATAAAGTATTCTAGACGCCTCCGGGTCAGGGTCGTCATTTGGGAATTAGCTCACACCGGGCCTTCTCCTGTGGGCACCATCCTCTCCGCCCTCTGCAGCCGAGCCTCTGGCTTTTGTCTTCAGGAGTGAGCAGGCGGAGCAGAGCAGGGCACGGGCGGGCAGGCCAGGAGTGAACCCCTCCTGCATCCCACACCCTGGGCACCTTCACCATCTCACCGAGAGGACAGTAGGGCGGAGGAGCCATGCTGCTCTCCGGCAGCAGTGAATAACCCCAGCCCACGCCACACGTCTCACTTCAGGGGAGCCCCTGGGCAAACCGCTCACCCTCACTCCTTACCTGGCGCTGGGCTTCTGGGGCTCACGCCCTCCTTGCAAGTGTGAGCACTGGGTTCCCAGGTTTCTCCTTGTTCTACCTGGGTGCCGAGGGCCTCCTGATTGGGAGCCTGAGACTCTGTTTGCAACAAAAGAAACAGATTTCTGTACAGCCGGCTTCCTCTAGGAGGCAGAGAAACAGCAGTGTTCCCAGCCGCCTCAGGGATGCACACAGGAGCTGCAGTAACTGCAACAGTTACTTGGAGTACACAATCCCCCTCCCAGCTCCTTCTAAAGAAACCTGGAGACTGCGGCTTTCTTCCCTTTACACTTTCATAACAGAACTTGGGGTCTTCTTTGAAATGGAAATGTGTACTTCGTAATCAGAACAGCTACCCCACAAACGGCTCTTGAAGAAATCAGTGTAAGATTGTAAAAGACCCACGATGCTTACGTACATAGGGAACACAAAATACCCCCAGGCCGGCAGCTCCAGGAGGAGACGTGAGAGACGGGCACCCCGAGAACGGGGCCTGAGGCAGCCCAGGCTGCAGCGCGCGTGGAACTTCTGAGCTAGGCTGGAGCAGGGCGGGCACCTCCCTCCAGCGCTAGCAGAGACGGATTGCGAACAGCTTAACGGCCAGAACCTATGATCTGACTTTCTTTCCCTACTCAGCACTACTGAGGCAGTGCTCAGGGCCCCACGCAAGGACGCAACGACAGGAACCAACCCGGCAAAGAGCCCATCTCAAAAGGAGTCACAGCGAGGCTTCTCCTCTCTGCCACCAAAAAAGAGCAAAAAATCAAAGGAGACCAAGGAAAAACCCCAACCACAGCTCCTCTTCGAGAAGCCTGAGACGACGCGAGGGGCGGGGCAGGGAGTCGGGCGGCTCCTGGGGCGCCCCCTGCACTCGCGTGTGCCGAAGGCTCTCCCCGCTTCTTAGGAGGGTTTCCGTACACCTGGGACGCTGACGGGCCTCCGACGGCCCAGGCCTCCCCGCGGGTGGCCGTCACATCTCACAGCCCTCACCTTCAGCCTCTGCCTGAGCTCAACACGTTCCTGCATCGTGCCCTCTAGGTCTGTTTGGGACGTCCGTGGCATTTCCCCCAATTCTGCTTCCTGACACGCAACCATGCCGAGCTAAAGCCCCTGGGTTTTCGTGTAGGCAGCGCTTCATCGGACGCTAGGCCAGGGGGCCCGAGACAAAGGAGGTCTTTGAGCAAAACTCAGGACGTAAACGTGGGTGGTGTCGAAGGACAGGACCCTGGTCAGAAGCAGCTTAGTCCTTAGCTACCCCAGGGAAAATACCGTGGGGGCACAGAGGGTGAGGATGCAGCACTGTGAGCTGCCGCAGACACCTCAGTGCGCGTTCGATCCCTGCCCTGGAGGTGACCCCAGGGCGCAGCAGACCTCTCCTGTCTCCCCACTGCTCCCCTCCGCAGTGTGTTTCAGTCCATCTGCCTGTTCTGCTCCCCGCTGTCTCTCGGGAGTCCTCTCACCACCCTGCACCTCTGGCCTGCACCCCAGTTCTGTGTGCATGAATAAATCTTAAAAAAATCCTTACCCAGTGTGTCCATATTCTCAAAACTCTCCTGCACCGGGTCCCTGGAGAACGTCCTCTTACTGGGGTCCCGGTGGCCCCACTCCTGGGAGATGTACATAGCCACGTCCTCCAAGCTCTCGGGCAACTGAAACGGCACAAGACCCCTTTAGGCCTTGAGGCACCGTGAACAACTCAAGCAGAGTCAAGGGTGACAGGGCAAAACGGGGCGCGGGGGACAAGCGGCGCGGCGGACACCGTTAGTGGGGAAGCGGCCCAGGGGGTGTGGAGGAGACAGAGAAGGCAGGGCGGACGCATGCAGTGAGGGAGAAAGGGTCCTCTGCAAGGGGAAGAGGCCCTGCTCCCCCAAGAGTAAGCGGGGTGGGGGGGAGACCACGGGAACGTCCGTATCACCTGGGGCCCAGTCACCTCCTTGTCTTCCACGTTCCCTTCAGGAGGAAAGAGAGAAAGCCAGGGAGCAGGTAATGCTGAAGGTAACAGAAGCGAGGGTGAGCGAGGCGCTCCAGCGCACGCGCCGCCTACGGCCGCAGTGTCCGCCCGTGTCCACCCCAGCGCCCGCTCCCACTCCAGGAGACCCCGACGGGCGCGGCAAGGCCTAGTGGGGGACACCGGCTGGGCAGGCCGGGCGGGTGCTCGGGGCAGGGTCCGGCTGCAGCAGACGCAGGCCCGTTAGCCCCGCTGCAACCGTCTCCGCTCTGCACGGAAGGGGCTGAGGACCCCCGCCCTCCTCCCCGTCCCACGAGAGTCTAGCCCAGGGGTGCCCTCGGTCCTGGGAACCCCAAGGTCAGAATCGCCTCTCCTGGCGCGGTGCTCCAGAGCCCCTCCGCCCGCCCACTGCCCGAGTGCCTGTTCCTCACCCCTGTCCTTCACAGCCTGGGGGGCCCTGAGGGGGCTGGGGCCTAGCAGCTCCTGCGGCCCGGGGCCCAGGCTCCGCTCAGTCTCCACCGGCTCCAGCTTGAAGCTCGCTGACTCGCGTGCTGATCCCAGAGGCAAAGGGTCCTCCAAAAGCACGTGTGCTCCCCGCCCGCGGTCTGTGACCTGGGGACCAACCGCGGCACTCATCACCAGGAGCCGACAGGAGGGGAGCCAGCGCGGCCCTGCGGGAGCTTCCAGAGCCACTCGCGGATCCCTGACCCAGCAGCACCCAGCCGCGGAGAAGGGCGGTTCACAGGCTTTCCTGGGCCGCGTGCGGGGGCTGGGAGAGGCGCCGCCCCTGCTCGTGGTCGCCTCGCTGCGTCCTGGATGTCCGCCCTCGCTCCTGGGTAAGCGGGAGCAGCCGTGGGGCCCTGTGCCCTCAGAGCCCAGTGTCAGACCGTCCGGGCCCGGGGCAGCAGCCGCCAAGCAGGAGCAGAGCCAGCAGTGTGACTGCTGCGCAGCCCCTCCAGCCCGCAGTACCGGCTTGAGAGGAATCTGAGGCCCCAAAGATGAAGCAGCGTGGTCAAATCACAAGACCAGTATGGCGCACAGAGGAGCTGAGCCCTGTGAGCTAAGAGACTCCGCCTTCCCGCAAACAAGGGCTCTTCACGGCTCTTTCTGTCCACTTGGGGACAATCGGAGCAGGAAGGTCCCTGGTAAACCACGAGAAGGTGCACGTGAGGTCCACTCAGGGCAGCCAACCGAGTTCCTAGGGGAACCTGGCCAGCAAGATGCCCCCGTCACCGGGGCACACAAAACAGATGCAACAGTTTCCTTCGCTCACCTGCTGCCTCAGTCTCCCCAGCTCTCGCTGCATGTCCTCCACCAGGGTCACCGCTTCCTCTCCGCTCTCCGGGCGCAGCTCCTGCACCCTGCTCTGGATCTCCTGGGGCAGGATGGTCAGGAACTGCTCCAGCACCAGCAGCTCCAGGATCTGCTCCTTGGTGCGCAGCTCGGGCCGCAGCCAACCATGACAAAGCTCCTGGAGCCGGCTCAGGGCTTCCCGGGGCCCCGCAGCCTCTTGGAAGCGGAATCGTCTGAAGCGCAGGTGGGAGGCCTCGGGGCTGGGCCCAGGGTCCGGCGGGGGCAGCTCCTGGCTCCAGGCGCAGTCCTCCTCCAGCTTCACGATCAGGAGCCCTTCCCGGTCCTGGGAGCCCGGGCCCGACGCCATCGCCAGGCCCCCGGGGAGCCTCGGCGCCGAGACCCGTCACGCCCGCCTGGGAAGGCGCCGAGCCCGCGCAGGGGCAGGCGTCGGCGGGAGCGGGGCCCGAGGCTCCCAGTCCCGGCCGGAGGCACCCTCCAGCCCGGCGCCGCCGGCCCCGGCCCGCCCTCGCCAGAACCTCCCCGAGCCGGAACCTGAGCGCCGCGATGCGACCCTCTCCCCCGGCTCACGCAGGACCGGCGCCCCGCTCCGCGCCGGAAGTCTCAGCGCGCGAGTTAGGCGTCCGCGGCCAACGGCGCCTGCTCGGGTCGACTTCCGGGTCGCGTTCGGCGGACTCCAGCGCCCATTGGCTCGGCGCTCGTCAGCGTCTCAACGCCGACCAACCCGAGGAAGATTTGCCTGCAGGGGCGGGACGAGAGGCGGGGCTACCGGGGCAGTCCGAGCCCCGCGAGGCCCCGAGGGCGGCCGCCGGGAGGGTGCCGGGGAAGCAGCCCGAGGGGTGTGAGCGCGGGCGGGGTCAGCCCTCGCCGGAAGCTTACTCGCGCGCAGCACTCCAAACCTCGCGAGGTCCAGCGCGTCAGCGTGCCGGCCGGGCCGGATATCGCAGTTGTTACACGCTCTCCCGAGGAATTCTTTGCCCACGGGCAAGTTTTGGAAGTTCAGATCCGGCCACGGCGGGTTCAGGACGGGCCCACCCGCCCTGCTGACTCGGGGCCGGCAGGAGAAGGCCTCCGTGGCGCCCGCCGCCGGCCTCTGCGGCCGCTCTCAGGGCTTCCGGAGCAAGCCGGGAGGCTGCGCGGAGCCTGCCGGGAGATGTAGTCCGCAGGCGGCGCGCCTCGCGCATGCGCCCCAGCCGGAGCAGCGCGGCCTCGCTCCGCGGCGGGCTGGTCCTCCAGCCCCGCGGTGACGCGTCCGTGGCCCGCTCCCTGGAGGCGGCAGTGTGAACCTTGGTCTGGAGGGGCGAGTAGGAGGCGGCCGGAGGGCCGGGGCCCTGCCGGCCCGGCGGGGCTCGTGGCAGTCACGGGGGAGGCGACCCTTGGGCGGC